CCATTTAGTTCTTTCTTCATTTTTTTTCTTCATTAATTCACTTACTTTAACTAGAATCATTATTTATCATTATTCATTACTTTAACTAGAATATATATATATAGTTATCTTTTCTTTTACCTTCGAGACTAATATAGGTTCTACTGTGCAATAAGAAAACCAACGTAAGCGATAAAAGATTTAAAATTGAGATTTTTTTTTTAATATTTGGTATTTTTGTATAATAAGCTATACATATTGCAAGTAACTAAGTAAATAAATATTTTATTTTTATTTTATACCCGTCGTTGAACAACCGACCCAATTTTTGGGTTTACGACTACTTATGTTCAACTCCGTAGCTTTGTTATTTTGAACCAATCCAAAAGACAAGGTAACTACTAGATCAGTACCGCCAGAGGTATGATTTGTTATGGGAACGTGGAGAACTTTGAGACTCGACAGATTTAACGTGCATCAATCACCGTTTTTTAGGTGAATTTTCGGCGGAGATCGAACCCACGACCTCTTGGAGATGGACCCAGTGCCCTACCAGCCAGGCTATGCCGACCCTAAATAAATAAATAATATTTTAAAATAACGTTTGAAATATAAACTTTCCACAATACTGATAAGGAAAAGAAAAAGAAACAAATTTTCCAATGGCTAAAAAAAATGTTGTAAGAATATTTTTTTTAAGCTTTTACCTTATAAAATAAGCAAATTCGAGCTAAGCAATTAAATTCAATTCAAAGTAAGTAAATACGCAAATTCAAAAAAAAAAAAGAAAAAAAAAAAAAAAAAAAAAAAAATTCATAAATTGTTAGATTATTAGCCATAATCTTCATAATATTTTTTTTACTTGAAAAGGAATTTTTTTTTTAAATTTAATAATTTTCTATATTTTTAAAGTTAATAATTTAATAATTTTTTATATTTTTAATATTATTTTAAAAATTTAATAATTTTCTAACATTATAACTATTTTAATGGAATTGTAGCTGTATTTGTGTAAATTGAATGGATTACAGCGTATGATTTATGAAAATTATATCGTGAATTCAAAGGTAGCTCTATATTTTGGTGTAATACCCCTTATTTGTGCGTACGTTGTGCTTCTCTTGATTATTAGCCATAATCTTATTAGCCATAATCTTCATAATATTTTTTTACTTGAAAAGGAATTTTTTTTTTAAATTTAATAATTTTCTATATTTTTAAAGTTAATAATTTAATAATTTTCTATAATTTTAATATTTTTTAAAAAATTTAATAATTTTCTAACATTATAACTCTTTCAATGGAATTGGCGCTGTATTTGTGTAAATTGAATGCGTATGATTTATGAAAATTATATCGTGAGTTCAAAGGTGCCTTTATATTTTTGTGTAATACCCCTTATTTGTGAGTACGTTGTGCTTCTCTTGAAGCTTTTTATTATGTAAAATAAGCAAATTTAAAACAAAATCATAAATTGATATAAAATTGACCGATAATCAGTTTTAAGTGTCAAAAATTCTTTTTCAGAGATTTTTTTTTTTTTTTTTTAATTTATGAAGATAATTTTCTAACACTATATCTCTTTCAATTGATTCTCGCTGTATTTGTGTTAATTGAAAGAGTTACAGCGTATGATTTGTGAAAATTATATCGTGAATTCAAAGGTGGCTATATATTTTGGTGTAATACCCCTTATTTGTGCGTACGTTGTTCTTTTCTTGAAGCCTTTAATTATGTAAAATTAGCAAATTTAAAAAAAAAGTATCATAAATTGATATAAAATTTAGATAATTAGCCTTAACTGTCAATAATTCTTTTTCAAGAAAAAAAAATATTTTTGAATTTGTGAAGATAAATTTCTCTCTCATGTGTGTGTGTTACTGCGTTTGCATTATGTAAATAGTCTTCTGGGTTTAAAAGCGCATATATTTTTTTAAGCAATACTCCTTATTTGAGCGTATAATGAAATTGTTAACAGAGGCGCGTACTGAAGCACAAACTCATTACGAAGCGTTAAATGTTCAATTTCTTATAAAAATCGGAACTATCTTTTTTCTGTGATACGAACCATAAAACGTCATTTTTTATTTCTTTGTTAATTGCCTGCCGATGTGCACAGCGCGCGTATATGTGCTATGTCACAAAAGCGTTGTACGTATTTCCAGCGCAAGTAGCTAAAGTGGAGAGAAGGGCATTCTAGCATTAAATTTGGAAAGATGTTTTTTCCCAGAATTTCTTTTAAAAAAGTAATCAGCTTTGTTAATTTTGTCATTTTGATTAAAAATTGTTGTTTTTTAAAAGCCTCAACACAAAGATAAAATATACAAATTAAAAAATAATTCCTTGAAAACAAAATAATTTCTAAAATGTATAGAAGAAAGCTTAAAAAAATAAAGACTTTATGTTTAAAAATTGTCATCTGATTTATTACTTTAAAAGTTTAAACTATATGAAAAATATTTACAATATTTTAAAATATATTTATTTTAAAGTTACATTACAAAATAAATTCGTTTCGTAACCAGCCATATTTTATGCGCGTTATTTAATTTCTATTATCTCGTCCTAGAGTTATTGATTTATATGAGTTTCATAACTTCATTATATTTGATGCTTTTATTTATTTGAAAATCTCACATGGATTTTTACACTCGGTGGATTTGCCATCGTCTAGCCGAGGTCTGGTTGTCTCAGTTTCAGACATACATAAAGACGCAAATCATTAAATTTGACAAGTTCTCATTAATTCTGGCAATTATATTCTTACACCTTCTAGGTTAATTTAACTGAGACTTATCATTGTGAGTTAACAAATTGGTATGCTACAACAACGAACGCTAATGAAGTGCAAATATATTTAAACTAGTTATCCCTTACAAAATAGTTTCTTCTTCTTTTGTTGCACATTTTGAATAGTTTTAAAAATTAGATTAAAATATAACTAGTCTGTCAAATATTTGTGTTTAAAATTGAACTTTTTTTTTTTAGTTTTTTAAACCTTTGTTGAATAGGGACAAATAGAATCTCCGCTTTAGAAATTAATATTTTTGATTTTTATAATGACTGTTTGTTCATTATTTAGTTTACTAAAGGATGTTTTCATATATAATGGTAATAATATATCGATTCATTTAATATTTTTCAGCAGCCATTTAACCCCTTAACGATCATTTAATTTTCAAGAAAACGATCATAAAAGTGCCTATTTTTTTTAATACATCCAAACATCTTGTGCTGACATCTAGTTTAAAATAAACTATCTACAATTACCCTAAAAATATCCTGGTACTGCCATCTGGAGTGTAAAATGAGAAATAAAATGGTTTCCGGGCAAAAGAAATGAATTAGTTTTATTCATATTGACCCTTGACTACTGAACACTCCAGCCGCCTAGAAATATGACGGGAGCGAGAAATAGAGGGCGAAACCTCACCCCGTCGTTTTCACGGGAGCGAGAAGGAAGGGGTTCATGTCAAAGTTATATTTAATAAAGAACATCGTTTAATGTTTTTCGTTGCAAATATTACTCTGGGGAACAAATTTCTTGTTGCATTTTTACAAATACTTAAACTTGCTGAATTCGGATGTGGAAATTTTAAATTTTAAATTAGTTTTGCTCCTTTGAGCTACAGAGTTTTTTAATGCCATTTTGAGTGTATATTTTATTGAAATGTACAGGTTTAAAAGCGCTCTATATAAAATATAATTGCATAAATGTTGCACCAAACTTCTAGGGGCGTTAAGTCACATCATCAGGACTAAAATTGCATAGGAACCCATGTTCAAAAATGTTGTCGTACGCGACTAAGCGCGCTTTGCCAGGACCGGGATAGCCTGGTTGGCAGGGCACTGGGCCCATGTCCAAGAAGTTGTGGGTTCGATCCTCGCTGGCCGAAGACTCCCCATGTAGTAAATGATGACTGATGCACGTTAAATCTGTCGAGTCTCAAACTCCTGCATGTTCCCATAACAACATAACAAATCACATCTCTGTGGGTTCTGTTCCAGGAGTGTCCTTGCCTTCTGGATTGGTTCAAAATTACAAGGCTACAGAATTGAACACTCACAGAGTTGAATTCCTAATAGGGGAATCGCCCCTAGCGACGTATGACGACGTTTCCGGTTTCTCTGCAATTTTACATCTGATGTTGTGCCCTAACTTCCCTAGAAGTTTGTCGCAACAGTTATACGACTCAATGCTATATATATTAAACTTGTATATTTTGACTTAAAATAGACTAAAAATGCCATTTAAAAAAACTACAACTTGGAGAAAGAAATCGATTGCAGATTTGAAATCAGCGATACAAAAGTATCTTAGATCTGTTAAAGAATCTCATGCAATATATATATATACAAAAAAATTGTTTCCCAGTGTTTTTGTTTGTTTTCATTGAGTTTACTAAATGGTACTTTGCAATGATTCTTGATATAGCAAGTGAGTAAATGAATAAACAAGAGAGTGAATGAATAAATAAGTAAGTTTATGAAAGAATGAAATGAGTTAGTGAATGAATGAAAATGAACATGAAGGAAGCGAATTGGTGAATCAGGCGAATCAGTTAAAATAAAGCAAAAAGTTCATAAACACACTTTGTTGTAGAAGAACCAACGAACATACTTTTTATAATTCACATTTTTTATATAAAATAAAAAGTAGGATACAGATTTTTTTTAGAAATGTTTATAAAGAATTTTGTACCGATTTTTAAAAAAAAAATTTTTTTAAAAATAATTTCATTTTATACACTGATAACCTGCTTTTGATGAATAAATACGCATAAAAGCATTACTCTAATTTTTATTGCTAGAATAAGAGTTGGTTAAAATATACAACACTAACATGAGCCATGATGGCGTAATGAGCTCTCTCATTTGTAAAGGTTGGAGGTTCGATCATCGGAGGCTACTTATGGACTTGATTGCGGAAGGTTTTACTTTTACAATAATAATGATAATGTACAAATAATAGATAAAAAATATTATTACTTTTGTAACTAAACGATTTTCATGTTTTTTAGGTTGCTGTTGTTAAACAAAGGAATACTGAGAAAGTTTATGCTATGAAAATTTTAAATAAATGGGAAATGTTGAAAAGAGCTGAAGTAAGTGATCAAAAATAAAATAAGTTTTATTTATGAAATTTTGATTCTTGTAAAAAAAAACTATTTTTGGTACACTAAAGTCAAAAATGGTTAATTACAAACTTGGTAACTATCGATACCAACTATCGATAGGACTGTTTACTAGAGATGAAACAAAATTCATTAATATCAAATCGAAAATTGTTATTTTTGTTAACTAATAAAATTAATTATCATTAATTTTATTTTATGTATTTATTTTATTTATTTATTTTATGTATTCATTTTATTTATTTTTTTTATTTATTAATTAATTTTATTATGATTATTATTATTATTTTGGAATTTTATGATCAGGTCAAAGCTGAGCCGTTAAGGACGTAAGCAGACATTTTTAGGGCTTCGATCCAGACGACAATCATATTGAAAGAAGAAGAAAAAAAAAACTTTTTCAATAATTTTAAAAATTTCTCTTCATTTTCAGTATTCAATTTATAGAAATATATAAGAAAATAAAAATTTTCAATTTATTAAAAATTCGGAAACATTGTTTACTATTTTATATCATATCGGTGAAATAAAAAAAGAAAGCATTAGTCTCAGGACTGCAGTATTAACAAGTTTTCTTTAACTGTTTGCACTTGCAAGAAACTAACAGATGATGCGTTTACCGAAATAGTCGACTGTAATTCTTTGTGTGGGAGTGTTTGGTGCTTTATAAAAATCGGAGCAATATTTTCTATTTCTTTGATAATGCGAACCAAGAACGTCTTTCTTATTTTGTGATAATTGCTTACCGACGGGAAGAGCACGTCGTTGACGATTTTGTGACAAAAACATCTGTACAATGCATGGCACGTATTACTGATCACGTATTTACTGATAAAACTCTTGAATTTTGGTGAAAGAATTAAATCCCTTTTCACCAGTTTACGAAGAATCTGAAAAGTATTGCCACCATTGATGACATTTTTCTAAAGCTGAAGGATCTTGAAGTAAAAAGATTACTCGAAGATAACGGAGACGGGGATTTTGGAACAAAACTGGGAGATTTATAAATTTTGAAAAGGTTTTAAAACCACTTAGATATAAATATAAAAAAAAACTTTTAAAATTTATGCATCGTAATGTGGAAAAAAAAACGGAGAAGGAGATTTTGGATCAAAACAGCGAAAAAATTTTGAAACGTTTTATAAAACCACTTCGCTTAATCAACTGATTTTCTAGTTTACTGAATTTGGTGGCTGTTCATTAACTGTAAACATTATTAGCTGAAACAAATTGTTCTAAAACGAACACATTCTCCTCCCTAAACGTTTAACTTGTAAAAAACCCTAACATCATGGTAGAGAATTAATTTAATCATGATTTTAAATTCATTGTCTGAAAATGCTGTTTCTATAAAAACTTAAGTGAAATTCGCATTGTATTCCGATATAAAAAATAAAAAAAATCATGGTTGTTGAAATAACTAAAATAGTATTTATATTATGTTTTGTTTGTTGAAATGGTGAGGGGATTTGTTTAATTTTTTTTTTTTGGGGGGGGGGAGGCTGCCCAGTATGACATGTGATTTTGCTAAGAGTAACTGGTTAATTTTATACTTTTGTAATTATGCTTCAATATTTAGCTATTAACACGTGTTGTGACTTATTTTTATATGTTTTTAATTCAGACGGCATGTTTCCAAGAAGAGAGAGAGGTCCTTGTCTATGGCGATAAAAGATGGATCACAAATCTTCATTTTTCATTTCAAGATGAAGTCAATTTGGTAAGTGTTGTTGATGACTGTTAAAATCCATATGATTTTGTATTAAATCATTTTAAGAGTGTACTTCGTTCTGTTCCTATCTTGATTTTAATTTAATCAAAAAAAAAATAATAAAAATAGCAATACAAGCTGGTTACAATTAAAGTTACACGTTTTAGATAAATATAGAGCCCGTTCTGGTTGACAGATGTTGGTTAAATTTGATATATACCTTTTAAACCTCATTCACATGAGGCCTAGCATAAGGCTGTTTACGTCACAAGATGAACCAAAACCTGATTTTTCACGTCCGACTCTGCCTATTTCAGGCAAGCAATGCTAGGCGGAGACAACTTCGAATAGGGCCGGAATTTAAACTCGTGATGATAAGCTCTTTGCGTCTCGTGGTCATTTTTCGCTGATCCTTGTAAGTTAGGGTTCTTAGAGCCGTGTGATGGCTCAGGGGATAGAGCGTTCGCCCTCCAATGGGGTGAACCGTGTTTGAATCCCATCAATGGCTGGTCGATACGAATTCTGCATCCGGCTTGCACCGACCACAGTGCTGACGTGAAATATCCTCAGTGGTAGACGGATCATGGGTAAGAGTTCCTTTGCCGTCAGACTAACCGTAGGAGGTTCTCATGGTCTTTCACTCTTTGTAACGCAAATGCGGTTTAGCTCCATCTAAAAGTCCTCCACGAAAGCAAATTTCTCCCAATACTCGATCCAGGAGTTCCCTTGTCTTCTGGATTGGGTTCAAAATTACAAGGTTACGGAGTTGAACATTGGTAGTCGTAAACCCATAAAATTGGGTCGGCTGCTCATCTACAGTTATAAGGTAGGGTTCTTAATAACCTCAGGAATGGTGTAAATTTGACAAGCTTTTTTTAAGGCTAGCTTTTTTTTCGCAATAAAAAGACCCGAATTCGAGATACTAATTTTCGCTTTATACATGTTCAATGTGCACACCATTTAGTTCAAACTCGTGTTGTAAACGTTAGTAGCTAGTTCAACCTTAATATGAAGGTTTTCTTGATCTAGTGCGGCAACGTAACCGGTTATCGTTGCATTCACTCTAATTTGAAAACCGCTACTGCCGTTACCGGAGCATCTCTAATTCTTCAGTCTTTTCGAGTTTAGTGATAATGTTTTTCAATTCTTTAATCTGTAATGGTATGAAGCAGAATGAGTCTGCGAGGATTTTCAGTCACGTTGCTTTTTGAACACGAATAGCGCCATCTATCGGTTGAAATTAACTATGTTCTTATTGCATATTTTTTTCCCCACCATTCATACAAGCTAAATATGTACACCATGCATCATAGATAACTGTCGCAGTTAATTTATTTGTAATATTTTGTTTATTTATTAAGTTTATTTTTAACTCAGGAAAATGAAAATGAAATAATTTTAACGGAAAAAAACTTAATATGCTTAAGCTATTAGGCTTTGTTGCAAAATTTGTTTATTTATTTCAGTACCTGGTCATGGATTATTACTGTGGAGGAGACCTGTTAACTTTACTGAGCAAGTTTGAAGACAGACTTCCTGAAGATATGGCTAGATTTTATATCTGTGAAATGGTATTAGCAATAGACTCTATACATAAACTACAGTACGTACACCGTGATATTAAACCAGATAACGTTCTGTTAGACGCCAATGGTCATATCAAATTAGCAGATTTCGGTTCCTGTCTAAGGCTACTTGAAGACGGAATGGTAGGTTATTAAGTCACATCTTAGGAATAGTTTGATTTATTTAAAATAAGTATTTGGTTTTAATTATAATTATTATGACCACCCTTTTATATCATAGTTGTCCACTTTTTTCCTCTATCCCCTTAACACTCCAACATGTAATAATACTGATAAGTGTCACTGTCTTATGACTAACTTATCTTGAAAAGAACATAATAATAATAAATATTGTTCGCCATTCATTTTATATCATTAAAAAAATGTCTGTAATTACTGCTTTTTTCCCCAAATGGTATAAAATGTAATTGTTTGCGAAATTTCTTATGAGCAAATATATATGATCTGAATGTTCATAAGCTGTGGTTGTCAATGCAAATTTATTTCTATCTAATAAATAAACAAATTAAATTTAAAAAAAGTGGAAAAGGAAATATCTAAATGTTCTATTGCTTTTTTTTAAAATCTATTTGAGTTACCAGAAAATCATTTTTATAACATTTTACACAGCTTATATTTTTCAAGTTTTTAGTAACAAATTTTTAACACAGCATATATTTTTCTTTTTATGAACTTCACAAAATGTTGAAAGGTCGTTGTGGCACGTTCATAGCACTTTCTAATAGTGTGGTATTGAATAGCTGTGTATCTAGATAACATTTTCAACTTCATGCCACAGATGCTCCTTTAAATTAAAGTCTGGAGATTTTGGGGGCCAACGCAGCAACGCGAAGCTACCTATATATTTTCCTCAAACCAATCCTTTACAATTCCACAAAACTACAATGCAGATGAAATAAAGGTTTTAAAGCATTACGTCTTTATATGATGCAATAATTGAGTTGGATGCAATCACTACCTCATCTCTATGGATGCAATAAGCTAAGTTATTCATGTAAATTCGGGTCATAATTAAGTGACGCTTATTGCATCAATTCTAATATTAACTCATTTATTTATTCACAATGGAGTATAAAAATAACAGGAAGTGTTCGGAATTTTGTAGCTAAATAACTTTTGCATCAATTTTTACTAAATATCACATGCATTAATTTCAGTCCATGGGTAAAAATTTCTAAACAAAAAGGATATTAACACATTATAATTATTTATTTTTTTATTTTTATTTTTTCAAGAAATTAAATTCTAAGATCTTTATTAAATTAAAGAAAAAAATAGAAATCTTGAATCTTTAAAAAAAAAAAAAAAAAAAAAAAAAAAAAAAAAAAAANAAAAAAAAAAAATGGTTTAAATTTCATGTTTTTTCGAACTTTTGTACGATTTTTAAACTTGTGACCCCAAAGTCTCGAGAATTTTCTACAAAAATTCAATTGCATTGTTTGTTTTCATTGTTTATTCCATATCGTCATCATGGTGTATTTTTTTAGGTGCAGTCTAACGTAGCTGTAGGGACACCAGATTATATCTCTCCTGAAATTTTGCGAGTGAGTTTTGTTTGTTTACATTCATTTCCTTTCCTAATTTTAGCATCTTTCCTAATACCGCTTAACTTTTGTGGTGGTTTATTTAAAAACATAATAGTTTCTACTGCCTCCTTTCATCGATTCTTTCTTGTACATTTCACTGTTGCCAGTTCTTAAAAATTTATACCATTTTTAATGTTGGAATACATTGAAATTTTCCTATAATGAACTTTAATAATTTGGTTAGGAAATCGTTAGGTTTTTAAATAAAAGTTACGAAAAGTACGCTATCAAAAGAACTAAATTATGTGACCTATATTGAGCCTTAACCAATTAAATATTATTCTTTCAGCACTCAGTAATACTTCTCAGGTTCCATTTAGGAAAAAACTCTGGTTTGTTAACGGATCTTTCACAAAATAAGTTATTGCGGGAACGGAATTTCTAGGGCTAGTAATTGTCCTGATATTCCTGATTTTTCTTGATGAAAAATATTGTGTCCTGATATTCTTGATTTTTATGTGTGTTTGTTCAGAACCCATTGTCTTCAAATACAAATGAGAATCTTAATAATCGATTTAATCCCTTCCTTCTCGCTCCCGTGAAAATGACGGGGTGAGGTTTCGCCCTCTATTTCTCGCTCCCGTGAAATTTCCGGGCTGGAGTGCTTAGTAGTAACGCGCCTATAATAATAAAACTATTTCTTTTATTTTGCCCGGAAAAAATTTTATTTCTAATTTTACGCACCAAATGGCTGTACTAGGATATTTTTAAGGTAATTGTAGATAGTTAGTTTATTTTAAACTAGATGTCAGCACTAATCAAATACCTTAGTGGCAAAATAGGCACTTTTATGACCACTTTCTTGAAAATTAACCGATCGTTAAGGGGTTAAAGAACCGAAAAATTTGAATTTTCGGTTCGCCCATTGATGTGTGATTTTTGTTGTTTGATTTGTTTTCCGATTTTTCACGAAATCACAGAATAGAAACTTATTTCACAAATTTACAAAAATACGTGTAGATTTCTTAAAAACGAATAAAACCTGTAAATATTTTCAAGAGCTGGCAACTTTGATGATTTTTCCTTGCATGCTTATACTTTTTATTTAAAAATTGTATAACCTATTTTCGAAGGGCTATCTTTTGAACTTGTATAACTGGGGAATCTTACATTGCATGATTTACACCTTACAATGGGAATCCTACTTTCCGGTGTTGCTTCATGTTGCATCATGCGCCTCTTGTTTAAACATTCCTAATCACTAACCTGCAATATCCTTCCTAAGCTTCCATTACTTAACAACTACATCCATATGTGTGATCCTAATTCATATACTATTTTTGTGTGTATACTAATTTCTATTGTTACTAAAAAATCGAGTAATAAATTTTTAATTAACTATTTTTTTTATTATTATTAAACTAGTAAAGATTCTTTTAAATAGTTCTTGCTTTCGAAATGAATGTGGCCAATTCCTATTGAATTCAATATGCTGAACACGAATTTGAATTCAACAACATTTAACACCAAATCTGAAAAACTCTGTATTGTAAGTGTTAACTGCACTAACTGCAATTGTAACAAGTATTCAATTTCATGTTCTTATTTTAATGTAACTTTATACTCTGTTAAAAGGGGATTTTAGGGTGTTAATCAACCACGGCCTGCACCTTGGAGAGGTGGTGGAGTTTATTGGGGTGGGGGTTTTGTGAAGGGCCATCTCTACTATGAACTTTCTGTTTTTCTGGCCATGATTATATTAAACCGATAGATGCCCCATTTGGGCATAAGTGTAGGGTCGTGTGCTGGTGTTGTTGCTGTGCTGAATAAAAATATCATAAAACAACTCCATCGGCTTTTTTTCTGTAATGCGTAGAAAGGTGTATATATGACAGTCCGCTATATAAAAATAAAACATCTTAATATCTTTTGATCCAATTATTGGATTTTCACATTATAAGCTGCTTTCTAAATAAATGATTCGAGGAACTTACTTTAAATAAGCTCGAATATTTGTGCCAACGATATTTTAATTTAAGAGTCAGTATCTTTTTTTCCCCTGATGGACTTAGATTCATGACCCTTAATACATTGAATGCCACGGGGGTCACCGGTGATCGGCGATGCTAAGATTATTGGAAACACATAATTCGAGTAAATTTTTAATGCTTTTTGTTTTTTTAATATTATTATCGTTACTAAAATGGTTTGAAGAAATTAATGCAATATAGAACGCACACAAATCATTTTGGCCAGACGGGCAAGCCGTATTTAAATTAGCGTGGCATTCAACGTGTTAAAGTCTTCTGCGATTTGGTAAATAAGGTCCCAATTGTTTAGATAGCCGTTGGAAGTTAAGCCCCTCTTATTTTAGTTTCCCTTTTTGTATATTTCACCATATCTCTAGCACTACTTAAGATAATCAAACAATTATTGCTCACAATTATCGAACTTGAAAGGAATTAAAAAATTATGAACGACCAAGTTTGCGTAGTCTCAATGTCGACCACGTTGTAACAAAAAGCATTATTGCTGCTGTGACGGACATTGATAGTTGCGCATTGGATATTGAACGCTGACGGATGACCAAAGGTGTAAGTATTGAACATTAGTAGTGTGTACCTGAAACTTGGTGTATGTATCTTTGAATATGTATGTATCTTTCCTTGTATCACTCGTCTTTAAATGGCGTGTGTATATAAATAAACAGTTTCTAAGCTCAAGGAGATACTTTTTTGTATGTATTTTTCCAATTTAGTATTCGTGTTCAGCATGCTTAATTCATTTAGGATTGGACACTTTCATCCGGAACGCAATTTCATTGTTGCCCAGTGTTATTATTGTTCATTTTGTTGGGTTAAGCATGTTGTAATTTTTTTTTAAGAAATTTATTTTTGTGAGAGCTTGTAAAAAGTTGTTAATTGTGCAATCATTTTGTGGCTGGAAATTGTGTTATATTAGATCTTCGTAAAATCTAATATCGTTTTTTTTTATTTCATTATTATTATTAATTTAAAATTCTGAAATAATTCTTTAAGTTCAAACATTTTTTAATCTAAATTCGAAATTAGTAAAGCTTTAAAATATCGATTTTTAAATTTTCTCTTAGTAAAAGGAAATTTTATTTATTACTTCATGTTAATCCCGAAGTCATGAAATTTAACAAAATTTTGTCATTTTCGGCATAATTGCTTACTGTATAATGTTATCTCTCTCTCTTTTTTTTTTTTTTTTAAAGAAAATTCTTTTTTTTTTTGCTGTGTTTCTTAATTTTTTATTATTTTCATAATAAATAAATAAATAAAAAAATGGGCAAGTTTGTTTGCAATCAACTGTGTTTAGAGTACTAATTTTTTTGTTGTTGAAGAGTTTTATTCATCGAAGTTAAGTGGAAAAGTTTTTGATAAAATTAATTGTCATATTTTCTAATTAAATATATGATCATAAAATTATACAATTTTTTAAATTTACCTATTTTAGCGTACTTATTTGTTTGAGGACGAATAGATTATAAAATTTTTTTTCTTCTCTAAAACAAAAATAAAGGACTCGGACTTGTTGTTATTGTCTTATGCTATTTGTTAGTGCTGATCAGCCTATTTTAACTGGACTTATAATGTACTAATATGCTTTATTAGTGGGACGTACTCAGGATTAAATTGTTTATGTTTAGTTTGTATTTGTGAATTACATTTCCTAAATTTAATATGTATATAAAACTAAAATGGTAATCTAATTTAAATTTTAATCTATAAATATTAAGGAATTAAATTTTATATTCGTTCTTTATATCATTATTATTCTTCAAAAAAATGTTGGTGTGGATTGTGTTCGATTTTTTTACCACTGTTAATTTTGTCATGGTTATATTGTGAGTTTTCGATGATTTCTTTCTGTACTTATAAACAATAAAACTGATTAGGCAGGCACTAAGTTTAGACAAATGTTTCCTTATTAGTAACAAGTTTCGGTATTAGAAATGAAAGAAAAAACTGATTTACCTGCCAGCTCCGTAGCTAGGCGCTTGAGAAATCATTGAACCTCATGATTTACCTCGTCATCGGCCGATTTACCTACTAGTTTCCGGCCATGTAATTGGTAAAGCATTGTACCTCATTTTTTTACCTCGTTTTCGTCTGATTTACCTCCTAGCTTCTCACCATGTAATTAAGAAAGCGTTGTACCGCATAATTTACCTCGTTTTCTGCTGATTTACCTCCTAGCTCTCCGCTATGTAATTGTGAAAAAAAAATGAACCTCATTTTTTTTACCTCGTTTGACTTACATACCAGCTTCTCATTATTTAATTGAAAATTCGTTGAACCTTATAATTTACCTTGTCTTAAGCTGATTTCCCTCCCAGCTTCTTACCATGTAATTGAAACATCGTTGAACCTTATAATTTACCTTGTCGTAAGCTGATTTCCCTCCCAGCTTCTTACCGTGTAATTGAAACATCGTTGAACCTCCTAATTTACAACGTCGTCGGCTGATTTACCAACTAATTTTCTGCCATGTGATAGAGAAACGTTTTTACCTCGCCGTCTAGTTTATATACCAACTTCTCACTATGTAATTGAAACCTCATGATTTACCTCTTTGATTGCTGATTGATTTACTAGTTTTCTGCCATGTGATTGAAAAACGCTGCACCTCATTTTTTACATCGTCGTCTAGTTTATATACCAACTTCTCACTATGTAATTGAAACCTCATGATTTACCTCGTTGACTGCTGATTGATTTTCTAGTTTTCTGCCATGTGATTGAAAACGTTGCACCTCATTTTTTACCTCGTCGTCTAGTTTATATACCAACTTCTCACTATGTAATTGAAACCTCATGATTTACTTCTTTGACTGCTGATTGACTTACTAGTTTTCTGCCATGTGATTGAAAGCGTTGTACCTCATTTCTTACCCCGTCGTCGTCTAATTTACATACCATCTTTTCACTATGTAATTGAGAATTGAGAATTTCACCTCGCCGTCAGAGCTGAACCGTTTGTCGTCACCAGGT